AGGGGGGGGGGGGGGGGGGAAGGGAGTATGAGGGAGGCTAGATTGAGGCCCCCATGGTGAGGGAGGGAGTAGGGCAGAGTCAGGTGCTGGGGTGCTGCCTAGCCAGAGTGGTGCATGCAGCCTGCGTGGGAAATAGGATGAAGCCTTGGGTGGCTCATCCAGAGGGCATGGGGAGGTGGCTTCCCACCATTGCATGCATCCCCCAGGGGAGCATGGGGGCATGTGCCCTCCCAGATTTGTGCACAGGGTAGGGACAGTTGTGGGCTGCCTGCTGCAGGGTCAGGGCTTCCTGCCCTGCTGGCTTTCCCCTGGGAGCCCCACACTGGCTGCATGGCCCCTGCCTACCTGGTCGCAGTAGGGGCAGCAGTGGCATCGAGTTGTGCTCCTTGCTGCAGCCAGGCAGGCAGGGGGCATGTGGCTGGTGTGGGGTTCCTGGAGCAAAGGCAGCAGGGCAGGAAGCCCTGACCCTGCAGCAGATAGCCTGCATCCACCCCAACTCAGCTCAGCTCAGCTCTACTCCAGCCATGGCCAGGGGTGCGGAAGTAAAAGGAGAGGGGGGTATGTGTCCCTCCTTTCCATTTTGAAAAGGTGGTCACTCTAGCTCCAGTTTGGGGCATAGAGCATGTAGTTGCTCCAGGCCTGGCCTAGTAGCAGTGGCAGTGATGACAGCAGCTCTGGCCAGGGCTACCACGAGCACAATACCTTCTATGTGGTCAGGCTGTGGCTGAATCAACCATATGCTCCATGCTCCAGGCTGGAGTGGAGCCAGAGCTGGGGAGGCAGGTGCTGGGGTGTGGGGATTGGGGTCTGCAGGTAGTGGGGTGGGGGAGAGGGCAGGTGGCAGAGGGCAAGGTGTGGTGGGGCGAGGGGCAGGGGTCAGGCTGCTTGACTCCCCCACTGCCTCCCCGCACTGTCTGCCTCCTTGCCACTGCTTTCCCGCTACAGCAGTGGGGGAGACAAATTTAAATTGACCTTCCAATATTTAGATTCTATACATGAAATATTACAACACATTTATACATTTTCCATGTATAGAATCAAATTATGGGGGGGGAGTCATCTTAAATTCACAGTCATCTTGGATTCAGGTAAATACAGTATTTATAAGCTGTGGAAAGTATCCCTGCTATTAGTACATTCTGAACATTTACAAAATGAAGATATTTTCTGCTTTAAGTGGAGGTTAAGAACAAACCATTCCTTAATATCTCTACTGTTGTATGGTTTCTTTGTGCTAAACTGAATTTCTTATCAAACTGCTCTGTGATCTTGATTGATTTTTTTTTTCAGCACACCTGGACCTGGAGAATGAAAAAATCTAGTCAGCATTTGGCCAATGCAAAGGACTGATACCTACTATCATCCTACAGGTACCAGACCTGTGAAACCTTATCATCCCGTTGATATATCAGATTTCAAACAACTGGTATTCTATACAGTTCTTACAGGCCACAACAAGTCAATGGTGTCTACTTTTGCACTGCCTTTCAGCTACTCTAGGCAAAAAATACATTGTTTTGTCTGTTTCTAGTTTATTTAGCAAATTCTAACTTGTCTCCCTTTCAAGCAGCTGTACCACACACCATACTCTTGTTTTTTTCGATTGACTTGAAGCATATACTAACTACAGCATTTCTGCTTTGCTTGAACAATCAATCATTTTTATATTGTTAAAGCGTTTCCTTGCCCATGGATAAACAAAAAAAAAGTAGTCAGGGTGTACAAAATCATGGTCCACATAAATTATCAAAAATGGTAATAGAACCATTTTTGGCTCTTAAACTGTTATCTTCCTACTTTCTATGCAAGAACAGATCCAGCTCCATCCAACATGACCCTGTGGAAGTTTTTCATTTTTACTCATTGGGCACTCTCACATGCTTAATACTAAGGACATGTAGTAATTTGGGATTTGGACTGTTTGTTTTGTGCAAAATATTACAGGAAAATCCGCCCTGATGTTAGAATCTAGTGACTTTCACGTACTGATTTATGTAGGTGTCAGTTACTACACACAATTTAGCCTATTATAAAATGTAATAATTTGGCAGATTTTTTGAGTCAGTCGTTTCTTTGGATGTAGTTTAGAGAAATATGCTAATTCATATACCTGCATTGAAAGGTGAACTGGAAACTGCCAGCTTCTAACAGACTTTTTTTTTATTATGCTGTCAGTTTTTAATGAGTAGAAGGAAACAAATATAACTAAGAGTCAGTTCTCTTTCCCCATCCAACTCTACACAATTACTATGAAAGTTCAGTTTTCATCCAGAGCACATTCTTAATCTGCCTCCAATGCAGATGTCACTTACATTATGTAAAAAACCGTAGACATGGCTTAGCATAGAATTCCAAAGACATGCACCACACCATATGGAAATCACTTGATTTTGACCCCCACCCCCC